TTAATCGAAAGATAGTTTTGTTATAAAACTGCCCTACACAAGTATTCATTTATCGAACACCCGACATCACTATTTATACGTAAGCAATGTACTGATCAAATTAATTACTGCCTCATCTCGACTTCACGACGCTCTCGATCAAAAATCATCACCTTTCTCTTTTTCCCAACGCGTCGCAGTATGATTGTCTCTTTCTAAATTATGGAAAAAAATGCATAGCTACTTCAGTGGTAGTGCGTGTTGAATGTGAAACTGTAAGTTTCACCTGTAGCTTGAATAAATAGCGTGTGGGCAAGATTGGAGTTGAGAACCATGTGGGAGTCTACACAGCATCCTTCTTTCAGCATTGGTTAATTATGCTGAGAAACATTTTATAAAATATATATATTTTTTTTTTCATTTTATAACCACATTAATTTATTTCAATGAAACCCAATATAATTTATAGAATAAAAAGAGAAAAGTGTTATTGCGTAATGAATTAATGCATTTAAAAATCAAATGATACGTAAACGTGTCTAGAAATTATATCAAGTTACATGTATCTTATTAGATACGTAGATTGGACAAAAACTAACTTTTAGATTATTTGAAAAAAAAACAGCTTAAAAGAAAACTCTATAGCTTTATAATTTTACAGCTTTATAGCTTTAAGTCTGTTTTAATGATGAACAAACACATACACTGTTAATAACGTATAACCAGCTCAATATCTAATAGTAAAACTGAGAAATTAAATAAGTTGGAAATGTAAAGACCGATTCTATTTTAGGTAAATACAACAAAGGAGCTGTACTGTGATATAATAAAAATAATAACATTAAGTTATTGCTTAAGCATGAATTAAGATTGCGGCATGGGTGTATCGAGAGGTTTGTTTGTTGTTTGTAAGTAAATTGTTTTATTCTATCTCTTCTATACTCCTACAATACTATACATACGACTTCTATATTCCATGCGTGAAACCTTAAAACTATTATCATTTACATGTTAGTTTAAGATAGATCAGCTGTGCCACATTTTTATTAGATGAATAAATATTATTATTATATTATTACTAGCTGACCCGGCGAACTCTGTTCCGCCTTAAAGTTTTTGTTTTCTTATCAGGCGCAAAAACAAACAACGCAGATGGTCTTCCGACCAATACTCAACGTTGCAATGTGTCTTGAACGTTTTAGAAATAAGTGGCGAATATGGAACAATCCAACTGTTGTCGACAACGAAATCCATTCTTTTCACTTTTGTTGTGACAGTTCCACCGTTGTCATCTGGTGATCGACGCCGATACAAAAAAAAAAAAACGGTATAAATAGTATCCTATGTCCGTCTCCTGGCTCTAAGCTACCTCCTCACCAATTTTCAGCCATATCGGTAAAGCCATTCTTGAGTTATAAATAGTGTAACTAACACGACTTTCTTTTATATATATAGATTATTATACATGCCGAGTAACTCACCGATTCAAATGCTAGATAGTAACATAAAACAATAGGGAATATGCATGTTTTTTTTTTTTTTTTTAAACGATTCTACTAGTTATAACATTACCAAAAAAAAATATATCACATCCGAAATATAAACCGTTAAGCAAAAAAATTTTTATTAAAATCACTATCATTTTGGGGCAATTTGAACACGTCCATTTTGGCGCGCTTTTTTTTACGTCAGATTACACTTTCAGACGAATTCGATGTCAACAACGGAGTGAAGTTCACAAAGTTTGTGAAAGTTAAAAAAGTGAGTGATAAAAATTAACTTATTACCATGGAAAAGCCAATAAAAATTTATTATAAATATTGTGCCGTTCCTTTGTGCCCAAATAATATCAAAACTGCACCTGACAAAGTATATTCAGTCATTGTGTTGAGTCTTTCAACACGGGAATTTAATAATTTAACACTGAAAACGTATTAGTTATTAACTTAAAATGAAACAAATAATCATCAGAAACCAAATATTACAAATACACACAACTTGTTGACACTCTTGACAGTGTAGGTTGACGTCACGTTTTATTCAACCAATAGCGTTGCGTTTTAGAAATTTGCGAGGGAATCTTAAAAAAGCCAATTTTTGATGATTAAATTTCACTATTAAATTATAAAAAATTTCAAAAATAATTGTATGGGTATCTTTTTTTAGCAATAAAAATTACAAATAAAAATATTTTGTCCATTTTGGTGTCACGTGCATATTCCCTATTGGCGCGCTCTACGCACGTACGTAAAAAAATCATTTCGTGTTTTTTCTAAAGTAAATGCTTTCATAACCTAGGTTCAAACACTCCTATGCTGAGATACAACCTCAATGAATATGCATTATATATTTATCAACATAGTATGATTATTGCATTTCACGACAAATTTAATGTTTTCTCCGATCTCAGTAAAGGAATAACGTAATCAGACGTATGTTTACATTGGAAAGGTAAAGGATTTCCATAATATACGACACAAAAGATTTTTGCTAGAATGGGAGCCGTCACACTACTAAGAGTACTACAACCATAGTAAATAAGTAAGACTCACTAACATGAATCACCTCGCCGCTTCCTACTCCACAAATTGTTGTTCTGAGTCTGGGTGTTCCTTGCGTTGCTTCCGTTTCGTGTGTTTGTAAAGTCCCCAGCGACACAGGATGTATTCCTAGTGCGGGAGTTGTCGAAATAAAAAAGAGCAACGTTTTTTGGTAACAAGTAGTCATACACGCATATCATACATAGGCAGACTAGAGAAAAGAGTGTACTAAATTTCCACAATTTGCCTACTGTAATTTTGATTCCAGTTACATACGACAAGCGTATTGCCCTCAACTCCTCACCTTAAAAATATTCATCCAATTCCTAAAGTACCAGACTTTAGGAATTAGATAAATATTTTCGAGGTCAATATGAAAGGAAAAGATAGTAATGGTAGGAAAGGAATGTTGCTTTTACGGTTGAATTGCGGCGTGTACGCTATTGCTTAGCTCGAGTAGGTCAAGGTCACATACCTGTAACCTTAACTGAATGTTGAAGGGAATTCGGAGATACTTTGCCTCTACTTCATTGGTTTTTTTTTATTCTATAAAGGGCAAACGAGCAGACAGGTCATCTGATGGTGACTCCCGCCGTCCATGACGTCACAGGCTACTCCAGAGTCACAAGTGTGTTGCTGTCCTTTCAGTCACTGCTCAGGGAAGGCTTCATCATCATCAACAGCCTTTAATAGTCCAATGCTGGACATAGGTCTCTCCTTAGAAAGCCGGTTTTGGCCTACTATACCACGGCCGGACGGGTTGATATAGGATTTGTGTCAATTTTTCCTTCTCTTTGCTGTACTGTAATCCTGCAGAGTTTGCTCCCTTAGTCAGCTCTTACAACACCTACGGGATGAATAGGGGTGGTGACACTCCGTATTCTTAAGCTGTGACAAGGAAGGTTTGGGTTCCGGTAACCTTACTCACTTGGTAAAAAGCAATGGAAGAGTCAGTTTAATACCGGTTTTATGTGAGGCCGTGGTATCACACCGGTCCAGGCCATGATACGGCCCATGATACACTTTATAGAGAACAGGCAAAGTTACAAATGCCCATGTGTTATGTTTATATACCGGCTGGGAGCTTGTTGGCAAACAAAGTTGAAAAAGTATAAATTGAAAACACACCTAAGACAAATATCTCTTCAAAAATAAAAATAAACTAGCTGATGATCTTCACATGGCTGTACCAATATTCTTTAATTATAGTGTAAAAACATTAATACAATGTTTTTACACTATAATTAAAGAAGATTGAAGTGATCATTTGTTCCTTTAAGTTTATTAAGATTGACGTGTTTGAGATGTGGTGTTAGAGAATAATAATATCGTCTCTATCTATAAAGTCTCAGTTCAGTTCCGATGAGCTTTAATACTTTAGTAATAAAATACCTTTTATGACAGTTGTGAGATCGAAAGTTGATCGGAACTAAATTAAGACCGAACTTTTATTACGAGAATTGACCTTCTGCTTAGATGTCCCCTTATTCGCTATCGAAGGATTACTCATTCTTGCCTTACTTTGTGGTACTCTATTTCATCCCTGTACCTACTTCAGGTTATTTAAAGGAACCAGGTTCTATGATATGTCGTTTACTGTACGGAATGTCCGGCTATGGAATGGATTGCCAATGGCTATAAAATGTGCCAAAACCTTGCCTATTTTTGAGAAAATGTTCAAAGTACATTCCCTATCATCTTCATTCATTCTGTACCTAAAACATATTCTTTCTGTTGTATTCCTCTTCAATGAAAATGTAGATATTAAGTATGTACTTATATAATATGTTTTATAGTATATGAAGTGTATCTGTTTTACAGATTATTTACATGTATTGATGTGTTTTTATGTAAGTAATGACTGACTGCATTATAATCAATTACTATTGTCATTTACTTTTATAGACATTTTTTTTTTTTTCACACCAAACTACCCACGAATTAGTCTATTTACTGTCGAAATGTCCATCCAAAGATTGTAAGAAATAGCTTTTTAGTGATAAGGCCGCCATGTACACGTGGCCATTAATTTGATGTAACATGTACTAAACTGGTATACAGTAAAATTTAAGCTATGACCTTACTTACTCATTACGACCACGCGACACCCGACCAGCACCAACCCGACTCGGTTTCGACGGGTGTTCCACGGGTGGAGGTCGTGTTGTTAAGCATAAAACGATACAACAGACACGTTTGAGGAACCACTCGCGGACAGGCGCGGTCCCAGAGTGGACCACTCGCCGTTCGCAGGTGGCCAACCCGCGGTCGGCGCTCAAGAGTTGATGTAGTGAGTGTATACACATAGTACTCCATACAAAGAATACTAACCTCTCGAACCGAAGTGGCTCTAATATGCTATGAACTATTCTATTCTATCTAATAACGAAAAAGAAAAGAAATAAGAATTAAAACATTGAATTATTATTATAATTTACTTAACATTAATAACTTATCAAATAAGGTAATGTAAAAATATCTTCATGAATTTTCTGTCTCCTTGTATCTGAAAAAAAATACTAATATTAGTCAAGATGTAATGTATTAGGTAGGTATATCAATGACTCTGTACAAACAGACACAATGAACACTATAAAACAAACAGTTATACATTTTGGAACTCAAGAATGGCTAGACCATTTTCATGATGTTCAATTTTTTGGATATATTGTCTCCGTTCCAAGTAGCAAAATAACTCATGAATGAAATAAAATTCATTTTCTCACACATTGTGTATAACATCTAACATAGATTGAGAGCATAGCTTTGACTTAAAACACGAGTAAAACTGTAGGGAACTACAAATTTACTTATCAAAGTAGGTAACAATAAAATGTAAACTTATTCTTTTAACATGTGTTATTTTTATTGGGACTGCCCGAGTGTCATAACTTGCTGTGTTTATGGGCCACTGTTGACCCTGGCGTATAAAAAAATGGATTATAAAATGTCATATTAGTGTACAAGTGTCCTAGTAGGCAAAAGTCCTACTAATATCATTGTTGTATAAAACTTGTGAGCAAGCACTGATAGTAACTATTAACAAGCAATGTTTTTTATCAGTTAGTGTCAGTAATTCTGAGAATACTTCATCATCATCATCAACAGCCTATAACAGTCCACTGCTGGACATAGGCCTCTCCTTAGAAAGGAGGTTTTGGGCTACTATACCACCCTGGTCAGACGGGTTGGTATAGGGTTTGTTTCAAGTTTTCCTTCTCTTTGCAGTGCTGTTGTATGCTACTATAATAGAAATTAATTTTGATCAAATTACATATAATGTTAAAAACTTACTTGCAAGATATACACGTATAAAATACGGTTTGTCCTTCATCGGCAGACCTCAACTGAAGTGTAGCATAAGACATCCTATCATGACCACATTTCGGACACCTTCTCTCAACAACGGGACCCTCGGGACCATCCATGTTTAACAAATTCTCATGTGTTACAACAGATACTGTATTGAAGTGGATTGTATACTCAAACTTCAAGTTACTGAAATCTGAAATGACAAATGACCATTGAAAAATTTTGCAGATTAATCTTAACATTGTCAAAATGCTGATGTTGATTCATTATGATTCTTGTATAATAACTTTATTTATTTTTGGATAAAAGAAAATATGATGTAGGGGGTCGGGCTGGGTCACCTGATGGGAAGTGACCATCGCCGCCCATGAACGTCTGCAACTCAGAACTCACAAAAGCGTTGCCGGCCTTTTAGGAAGGAGTACACTCTTTTCTGATGATGTTACGGATGGTATAATAATATTCATCAAAGAAATAAAGTTATTGCTTTGCTTATTTTTGTGGCATATGGGCGAACGAGCGGACGGTTCAACCTGGGAGGGATTGTCAGCCAATTTCTAGAAAAATTCTTCCATACGGTGGTCACATCCACGCCACTGACAACCACTGGCAAGGCCTCAACCACTGGACCATTAATGTAATCACATGGTCTTTTCAAGGCTTAGAAGTTATGCAGTATTAATCCTCTTTGAGAGCAATCGAAGCAAAAAGTTAGTCGGTAAAAGCTGTCTTAGGCCGAACAACAAATTAATACAAAATATTTAAAATGAGGATTATAGAATAAAACATTACTTACTTTCAGCGTCATAAACTGCTTTACAAGCATAACATTTCACTGAACCAAACTCTTGAAGGAGAGGTAATATAGACCCACATCGGGCGCAAAACGCTGTACTAGCTGAAAAAGGACTAGTACTGCTATTAGCCATTGTTAAAACAGTATAATTAGAGGTTAAACTCACACTTATAGTGATATTAGAGGTTATATTTTTGTTGTTTTATTCCACTCAACGAGTTATCAATCAAACACTGTTTGTAAATCAAATGTAAAACAGATTAGGGCTGTAGATTATGCCATAGATTATAATGTATGTACTAGAGATTGGATTATGCCGACTGTGAGCCAAAGCTGGTACAGATGTCGCTAAAAGATCGTATTAAAAAAAAAAGTTGGTGCACTCACTATAACGTTTTATTATTATTAATAATAACTAATTTATAATAAATAATTTAGTGTGATTTTAAAATATAGAAGAATTGTTGAATTTAAAAAAAAAACAAATCTGATAAAAAAATTAACAATAATAGTTATTATTTATATATTAATTGACGTTTTTTATTATAAGATCTTATAAATGTCTATACATCTTTTGAAAAACAAAAATCAACAGTGAGTTACATTGACCTAATTTTTATATTATTTTCGAACAAAATCATACCCGTCATCCATTGAAAATTCGCTCGATTGATAAAGTTAATCTGAAGTAAGTTACTTAATGAGTCAAAAATAAATATAATTATGAACAGTAAATTTCAATAATGAATATTGTAATTATGTCGTACAGCAATAACTTATATATAGTTAGATACAAGATTTTTTTAAATGTATGATCAATGTAGGAAGTTAATGTTATTGCATACCAACACAGTATTTAATTGGTACATGGTACAAAACCCTTAAAAATGGTATGTATACCAAGCAATTGGTACGTTTGTAAATTACTGTAAAAATACGAAATGTAAATATATTCTTAGTAGGGATGGCATAAAATCACTATCGCATGTGACAAATCATATGACCAAATCTAAAAAAGAAAAAAAATTAATTGATTTAGTGGCATTTATCAAGAGCGAAAACACAATCTCATGTGAAATCGCTGTCACTAAATCCAATCATTTAATCAAATGAATATGATTTAAAAGTAGCAATAATTCCCCTGTTTAGTTTAGATTTGACAAATATCAACGGATATTGCCAAAAATAAAAACATTTTCAGATTGTGGAGAACACAATCATTTTGAATGTCAGATGATAGAACATGAACAAAAAACTGGTCATGTCGTTGCGTTGTATGCCGTCGAAATGGGTGCGAGGGGTATACCAGCTAAATCCCTCTAAAACCTGCTCAAAGACCTTGGATTGGACCCAAAGCTTTAGTAAGCTCCATTCTTGAACGAATATCCAAAGCGGCATTGCTTGGTTCGTATCAAATATGGTTAGGTAGAGGGGGTAACATAGCAGACAGTGGAGGTGAGCGCTGACACTTCGCAAGGACCCCTTAATCTATACCTTGGTCACGAGTCTCAGGAGCTGTCAAATTCGCGGGTGTTGCCCCCATCAAGTTGTAGGAAGATATGTGGTCTCTTTACAATATAAAACATGGAATGCGATTTTTAAGACGCACGAGAACGCGTTAAAATCACAAGGTTGCTTCAACAGCAGTTCGACGTCTATAATGACCTCATAGAAAAATAGCAACAATTCTGGGACGAATCATTTAAGGGGCGCGTACTTTACTAGTTCTTTTCATCTGTTCGCGAACGGCTATCGAGGACATGGCTAAGGGTGGATCACTGTGTCGCTCATTTTCTTACAGGTCATGGTAACTTTAAAAGCAAAGTCTATTCATTTAAATTAGTCGAATCACTATTGTGTCAATGCTCAACACCTGACTTTAACTGTAGACAGTCTACTCATCATATTCTCTCGGAATGTAGTCTGTGGTACAATAAACGTAATTTAATGCTGAATTTACGTTTCCCTGAAATTTCAATGCGGGTTTCAAGACAATTAAGTTTAATTCGTTCCTGAGGAGTGACAGTTATGAATGCTGATTTTGAACACCGCACTCTTTTTTCACACCACCTTTTATTTTGTCGATGATTTTACTTCAGAATAGTACTTATTTAAAAAGAAAAAAGGTTTACTAAAAATAAAATAAAACTAAAAACACGCTTTAGAAGATAAAATCGAGATTCACTACTAAAGTGTGTTTTTAGTTTTTAGTTCGCTTTGTAGTATTCAAAAGTATTATTTGTTGATAGTCATTCCTAGGGCTCCTTCGATTAAATTTTCTCCGGGGAAATCAACAATCCTGACTCTAGATGATCCTGTTCGGGATAATGATACAAACTTGAGAAATTGTAGTATTTTTGTTGGTATGCAAAGTTTCGATTGGGTAATTTTAAATTTAATTTGATGTTTTTTCAAGTGGTAATTGTGGTGTTGATTTGTGTAATTGGTATTGATTTAAGTATCCGTTTCAAAAAACGTCAGTCGTAAAGTGTTTGCCTCTATGGCTTCTCTCAGATGGTTATGTAATTTTCTTCATATGTCTACTACAACCGAACTCGCACAATCTTTTATTTGCCCTATTTTTTTTCTCTGCCGACGTCAGGTATTCAGATCTCAATAAGGGCACACTTCAGAATTTCTGTATAACTTGGCTTTAATAGGTATTGCGAGCTTGTAACTTCGTAATTTCTCCGAACTTCGTGAAGATTCTCATGAACTCAAGTGGCTTGGAAATTATTTTAGTTTGTATGCGTTTCGTATTCTACTCAGCACTATTGCAGGAAAGCTTACATTAAAAAGATTTGCAAAATAAGAAGAAATTTTCTTCTTATTTTGCAAATCTTTTACAAGTTATGATACTTTGGCAACAAGCAAAAAATAATATTTTTACAACCAAATTCTAATGTTACATTAATAACCTTGAACGCAACTAGTTAAGTAAAGTGTGGTGTTGATGATATTTTAAGTTTTAAAATTAATAAGTATGATCTCATAAGAAATATTTTGCTCCGGTTCGCCGTTGGTCTGTGATGCCAACAACAAATAAATTTTAAGACAGTTGTGAGATCGAGAGTTGATCGGAAATTTTATTATTAATACTAAAGGAGAATGGAACCTCTGCCTTCTATTTTATATTTTATTTATCACACTCATACCTGGAAACACAAATAGTAATAGTTTTGGCAACTCGACATGCGACAAAATTACAGTGAACTGTGATTTTTTATTCGATTTTTGCTTACGTAGGTTAGGGTCGCTATTTAACAGTAAATCTAATATTTTTTAAATTATTATGTAGGGAATGGTAAATAGGGTCTTTATGCATAGTTTGAAAATAACCTATTGGCAAAACGCGTGAGTAAGTAGTAACCCTACGTCTAAAAAATCAAATGATAAATCACCACTCACTTTCACAGTTCACCGTGATTTTGTCCCATGACTATTGGCAACACTGTTTATAGTTTATTAGTTGTTTGTTGTCAAAAATTTGTTTGGCTGTATCTGGTTATTAATAATTAATTTTGTTGTTACGTGCATAATAATAACATTTACTGTGTATAACAAAGTTTTGCCTAAGAGAGGGAGTTTCATTGTGTTGAAAAACTACACGTGAAAGGTATGTGAAATTCCTATTATCATAGCTAAGGCAACAAAGCGCTTACCGCTCGCTTCCCGTTAACAATACCTGACGTTATTATTACTACGTAAACGACGGGATTTTGGCAATGATGAAAAATATGTAACAAGATTTTTTCCTACACTTCTTGCGAAAGTTTGTTCCGACCGGGGGTCCATAGACCCCTTACGCCGTTTTTAATATTCTTTAAATATTATTTGTAGCCGTATATTGTTTACAATCTTTTAATTTTCTTTAAATAATGTTTACAGTCATGGATGAATCCATAGAGTCTTTAACTCAGCCAGACTTAAGCTTCCCTTCTGCTGCACAAACAAATCCAACGATAGATGCTCCTACACCAATGACGCCATCGACTGGACCCCAAAGTGGTAAACATGAAGAGTTTTCTGTTGAAAAAGTTCTGGATCGCAGGATCAAGAATGGTAAAGTTGAATATCTTCTGAAGTGGAAAGGTTATTCTCAGTGAGTATTTTACGTTTTGCTATGTACATAGAAGTAAGTAAGTGCCTTGCGAAAATGATGCTTCTGAGACATAGGACTAACGTAATACATTCTACTAGCGAGAATTTTCATCTACCCCCATTTTCATTTCAATATTTTATATTTTCATGTCACATAAATCATATGACACTAACATTGTCTCTACTCTGTATGTAAAATGTGTCCTTATTCCAAAATATATCTGACCACTCATATATATTTCATCATACTACATGTATAAACGGCCATCACAGTTGAAGGTGTAATGCTTTTTAACTTTAATAAGTTTAGATTACAATAGCTTACAATATTTATTTATTTATTTATTTATTGAGTCTCTCTGCAAACATATTGCATAAGGCGGACTTAATGCCTCAGGCATTTTCTTCCAGTCAAACCTTTGGGTGTTGCAAAGCTGTGTGTGGCAGGTGTATATTTGGGACAGGTAAAGATGAGTCTCATCTGGCAATGAAGCCATGTTACAATGGCAGAAAAGAACAAATCCTACAGATATATAAGTACTAGATATACATACATATAGTTTATACATATAAATATCATAATAAATGACAAAAAATATATACGAGTAATATATATTATAATATATATGATAATAAATATACTCTTAGGGTGTTATTCTGATGACTGTCAACAAGTCTCTATAGAGCTTCCGTACTTTAAGCTTAAAAGTGTATCGGTTAGTGGACATCCTGATTTCTAGTGGGAGTGTGTTCCAAAGAGTTACAGCTTGAACAGGGAAGGAAGAATGGACCATACTGGAATTATGTGAAGGACAAAGAAGGAGAAGATTGTTGGAAGAGCGAAGAGTTCTGTCATGATTAGAGCAGAGATATTGAAAGTGGGATTTCAAGTAGGTAGGTGAGTTAGATGAGTGGAGAAGAGAGTGTAACACAGTCAGAGCTCTCGAACTGCGGCGCTGTCTTATAGGTAACCATGACAGTTGCGTACGGCAAGCGCATATGTGATCGTATTTTCGCAGGTTGAAAATGAATCGAACACAATTGTTGAGAAGTTGGTCTAATTTATTGAGCAGATCTGCATTCAAGTCGAGATAATACACATCACCATAGTCGATAAGTGGAAAAATTTAACTCTGCACAAGCTTCGTCTTTGTTTTTATTGGGAGGAAATTTTTAAGGCGATAGAATCCTCGTAAAATATTCGTAACCCTCTGACTGACACTAGTTACCTGAGTTTGCCAGTTCAGAGTCGCATCGATGTGCATATAAGTTTAGATTACAAATATAATTGATTAAAAGTGAAGTTAAGGATTTGCATATGAGCAATCGCTGTTTTGCTATTTAGGTGGTTATTTATAATAGCAAAATTTTCTTTGATCCTTTCTTTGGTATTGATAAATGTGGGGGGTTCTTTTTTACATTTGGTTAGATGAGCCAGCCTAGCTTCTTCCAAAAGCACAGAAACCTATTGGGAAGCACCAATCTTTATCTAGGAGGATACTTGCCTGTTGGCAACTTCTGCGTACTCCTAGATAATATGAGCAGTTCTTTCCTCGAGTTAAGACATACTCTACATAGTTGACTGTACATCATCATGTTGTAGATTCAGGGCCAGATGTCTGGTAATAGTAATCGTCACACTATTGATATGTATTCTGTCAAGACTGAGCAGTCTGCAGGTTAAACATGATAAAAATAATAATAATAGACTTTGTACTGGGATCGCCCTATTATCACTGACAGGACTATTGTTGCCAATAAACCTGATATAGTGGTAATAGACCGATTGGAGCGCCGAGCAATGATTGTTGACATTACCATTCCACATGACGACAATCTCTTGAAAGCTGAAAAAGATAAACAAGTGAAGTATTTGTATTTAGCCCACGAGATTGTCGACATGTGGGATGTTGATTCGGCAATCATTGTACCGATAGTCATATCGGCCTATGGATTAGTTGCTAAGAGCCTCGACCAACATCTTCAGAGGCTCGCGTTAGGCAGTTGGATTAAGGGTCTGAAGCAGAAAGCAGTTCTCCTCGATACGGCACGTATTGTGAGGAAGTTTCTGTCTCTGGAGTCCTAACCACCGATATCTTGGTCCCTGTACCCGATACCGATGGGATACTATTTTTTATATTTTTAAATGTGTTTCTTTTTTGTTTTTGTATATAAATATATTTAAAAATGTAATTTATATGTATAAAGAATGAGATAAAAATAATAATAATATGTGTTGTTCACATATTGGTTATGTGCTGCACATGTCTGTTACTTAGGTTGAGCCATTACCTGGTTTTGCACTGTCTATCTAGCAGTTTTGTTTTTATGCAAATTACTGTTCCCTTTAACCCTGCAGGTGGAGCTACCGGGTAAAAAATACCATAGACACATGAAATTACGTCATAAGTTTTTAAGGCACTTAGTAGTAGCCCCTGGTTATTTTCTATGGTATATTGAATATGAGAGGCATTAATGATTATGATTGCAAAAGCTAATGCTGAACGACAGAATAGGGCCATTGAGGAATCAGTCATTCTTTGGTGATTCCTTGGTCTTGAAAGAATTAGCATTGAACCTCATAACTCCACTACTAAGGAAAACAGCTACTACAGCTAATTTGCTGACTTATTTAAAAATGAAAATATCATTGAAGCTTGGTGATGATGAGGAAGATCATAGTAATCAACAAGCCATTCAGGCTATCAAGAGCCAATATAAGTTAGTCCCCTTACTCAGTATGCTCATGGAAATAGGTCAGAAAACTAAAATATTGTGTGTGTTTCGCCTTAAAATGATATGTCTCGAACATACTATATTTTAATACAGTTTGTGAGGAATGTAATCAAAAAAGTAACAAAAATTAATAAGTATTATAAACAAAAATAAAGTGATTCTCAATTGCATAAAACGAAAGTGCCAAAACTTTATAGTATCTTCAATTAGTCAATTTTAGAAGTATTTTTTATGTTATGTTGTATGTTTTTATGTTATAAGTGAGATAATATTATATTTTTTTGTGATTGATCTTAATTTAGTAGTTTAATTATTAAGTTTAAAGCAATTTTTGCCACTAAGTTCATAGATATAAGAAAAAATACTAGCATTTAGTGATTTAAGTTCAGATATAAAATTTGGAGACAAGATAAATACATATTATCTATCACATTATCATTTCAAATTATATCTATATTTATCTTATTTTAATTTATATCCACTAATGAATATACCTTTAACTTAATAATAGCATTCGTCAAATGTGGTATTTTTCACTGGCGACTGTTTGTGTCCTAAATACGGGCGCGCCTCCCGCCGGGTTAATGAAGGTATACCGTATTTGTCGTGACAACTAGCCACGACAATGTTTTGTTGCATTTAAAAATATCTTATTTGGTTGTACAATAAATAAATGTCAAGATTTGAGCGCAGAAGATTTTGAAGCATACACAAACTCATTTAATGTTTACATAATAAAAATAAAGTCGTTTTTTGTGTTGTACGCTTAGATCTTTTAAACTCAGCAAAGAATTTTAACACGGTTTTCACTATTAAAAAAAATAAAATTTAAATAATTAAAATGTGCATCAAGAGAAAGGTTTATATGTATAATACATGAGTATTATAGTAGAGAAAATCCGAAAATTACAAATATATGTTGTATAAATCATGTTTTTGTGCGCTTACATTGCAAACCGTACGAGATAGGCTAAAATAATGTATCTTAAAAAGATCTACAAAAAAGTCCGTGATGGTATATGTCTATCTCCTAAGGATAACCCACAGTAAATATTTCTATCTTTTAAATATTATAAAAAAGTTTTGGGTTAAATACGAAGATATTTTAAACAATACATTATTATTAACTAGATTAAAATTGCACATTTACCCCATATCATTGAAATGAATAATTTATAACAAATTAGGGCATTAAAATGCGGGGTCCAACGACCGCTGAGCCGTACGTCCGCCCCGGGTGGCAGTGGCCGGCAGGATCGGAGTGGGCCTACAAACATTACATTTAAAGATGTGCTGTAGTATAGTCCTAAAATAATAATAGTATAATTAATTACTCCATACTGACATAAATAGTATCTACATTGCACCCGTGCGAAGCCGGGGCGAATAGCTAGTATTTTATAAAAATGAATTAGTCTAATTAATATTTGTCTATATTCAAGTGAGGATGATACTTGGGAACCAGAAGACAATCTGGATTGCCCAGAACTAATCTCAGCATATGAAGAAGCCAGGCTCAAGAAAGAAAAAGAAGAAGCAAATACGGCAGCAGCTGCTGCAGCCGCCGCTGCTGCTGCTGCCGCTGCCGCCGCCGCTGCTGCTGCTGCTGCTGCTGCTGCCGCTGCTGCACCCCCTACAGTTCCTGCTCCAGATCCAGTTCTAGAAGAGAATTTAGCTAACCGTAAGAGAAGCAGGAGAGGAGATAAGAAAAAGAAAGGAGAGGTATTACACTAGTTAAAAATCGATTCACAACTATTGCTAAGATTTTTACTTTTTTTTACTTTGACTATTAGGATGGATGAACTGTGACACCCCATAAGCCATGTGATCATCCCATCCCATCAAAAAAGTATTGTTTTTTACAGACAAAATTTAATGAAAAATCATAACTTAGATAATAAGTTCTTGCTTTCCACAGTTCTATAACACTATAGGTCTTCAATAAATAAAAATATAAATGATACATGTAACATTATTTTTAAAGGCATTGCAAGAGATTGAGAAACCTCGAGGCCTGGCTCGAGGGTTAGCTCCTGAGAAGATCTTAGCTGGACAACTGTTTCATGGCACATTGTACTTTTTAGTAAAATGGTTAGTAACATGTTTACATTTTAATTTAGTGCATACTTTTATAAATTAGTTGTTTAATGACCTTAATTGTTATCATGCCAGATACTTCATTTAATTATAATAATAATAACTAACTTCACACATCTCACACATGGCCGTCTGATTCCAAACTAGGCAGACAACACTCCGTGATAGGCCTTATCGAAATTCCGTGTCAACTGCTTAATAAATTATATTATGTAATTTTTTTGCGTTTCATGATACATAATTAGATTAGGTAATAGACCACGCGATTGCATTAACTCCCGTAAATAGATATTACAAACCTTTAGATTACCGGACAGAAGAGAGCTCGTGGCCGTGGCCTGTACGATGTGTACGCGATCATGTACTAGGTACGCAATTTGTACCTCGTTTTAATTTCCATCAAAGTACATAATTATATATATAATACAATGCCAATGAATTTTGTGTAATGCCTTGTAGATGTTTGTGTAGTTGACTATCCATATTAAATAGTTACCTACTTTTATTCCACAAATTTAATCAAACAATTTATAATTTTTTCAGGCGAGGATGCTTAGATGTCGACGTGGTACCCGGCCATGACTTGGGCGAAGCGTATCCAGACTTTGTCATAAACTATTACGAAGAATGCGCGCCATTCAGTGTAAGGCACAAAATTGGAAAAATACCTAGAATTGCACCAGAGGTTAGTATGGAATTGAGATGTCTAAAGGCCAAAAGATTCGTATTGGCATATGAGCACCTCTAACTACTTCATTGTAACTCTCATTACCTACAAACCTACCTATTCCATTTCAAATTTGTCTAAAATAGAGTCTTCAAAATATCACAACTGAAAGACAGTTGCCCTTTCAAAAATAAAGCTTATAGTTAATAAACACAGTTTATTTTTGCATAATGTGGGTAGTAGTAAAAATTTAACGATATATAACAGGCTTCTTCAGTAAATTTTCTATTTAGTCTCACTAGTCTCACTATAAACAAAATAGAGATGGGATAGCAATTAACATAATTTATTTGCATTAATTAACATTGTTTTTTGCTAACTCTTGTTATTTATTTTCAGTTGCCTGAAGAATGTGCCGACAAAGAAGCAATACCTGAACCAATGGAAATAACACAAGAGAATGATAAAGGTATGTGGCCTATATCAAGATTATTTGCAGATTTAAATGAGATTTTTCTCAAAACTTTAAAATTACAATTCTGTTTTGTCCCAATTGTAATTGGGGTCTTCAAGTGTAGTTCCCTTTGCAAGGGTTTTCGATATATCGGGGTAATAACCTTTTAAAGTTTTTTTTTAATGCCTAGCATATGATTATTTTTCTAATGGTAAATAGTTGACAGAGCTATACTTTGGGAAAAGAGTAAGACTGTTTTGCTTTCTGATACTGCTAGTGTTGGGATTGTGTTGTATATTTAGACGAATCATATCACATCATATCATCATCATTAATCTTCAACAGCCTATGATAGTCCACTGCTGGACAAAGGCCTCTTCTCTGAAAGGAGGTTTTGGCCTACTATACCACGCTGGCCAGACGGGTTGGTATATTGTTTGTTTCAAGTTTTCCTTCTCTTTGCAATGCTACAATAGTCCACAGCTCGACATAGGCCTCTTCTTTGAATCATTAGTGTTGTTTTAATACAACTTAATAGTATTCAAATGAATATTATAGTAACAAGTAATGTAAATGTGTACTTACAAACCAGCGATTTTAATTTTTAAATACCCAGTATCATACTAACTTTTAAACTTTCGCGTTCCATGATAATTAATATTATTTAACGTTAAATAATATTAATTACCCAGTATCACTCTCACAAATAACGAAAATGTAACGACACCTCCGTGTGGTGATATGAATACGGACTGTCACCACTCCTATTCATCAAGAAGGAAAACTTGAAACAAACCCTATACCATCCCGTCTGGTCAGCGTGGTATAGTTACTATACCACGGTGGTCTACCAAAACATTCGTTCTAAGGAGTGGTTGTAGAGTTGTGTCTCTTGATGTGATGATGATGTGCAACAACACCTCAAACGCTAAAATTTAACATAACATATAAACACTATAAAAACCAACAAGGGTGGTACCTTTGCGGCTTCAATACATTTTTTTTAATTGTGTACTCAAATATTTTTTGTGGTGCTCGTGTTCAGGTCCCGCGCCGCCTGACGAGCCGCAGCCCGCGGCGGTGCCCGTCAACTGAGGAGAGACTAGTCTTAAGGGCAAAGGGTTGTTGGTTATTGTGATAAATGCTAAATTGTTCATAAGATTCCCTATTCCTATATTGTTTAAAGTTTGCCTGTAAAGAGAGGACTTCTCTTTGTACTCTCTTCTTTCTCTACATTTTCTATAGCATTCACTACTTATTTCAAAGTCAGTTAGAAATGTAACATATAATGATTCCAATTTTTTTGTAATATCAGCATTCATACTTAAAGATTCGGTTAAGTATAAAAAAAACCTTTTCTAATCTTTTTTTTGTGAGTATATTAGTGGAAGTGGAAGTTCTCTCTTTAAGCAAAATGGAAAATTATAATTATGTAGGCATACTAGAATTAACACAATCACGTAATTAGTATTGCATAGTGTTTCATCTAGGTTGCACTGGCCTTGGTCGTAGACCAGTGCAACCCTAATTCTTAATTCCAGTAGGTATATGTAATTATCATGAAACGCAAAAGTTTAAAGTTTATAAATGTAGTACAATAATATTTTTTTAAAATAAGCATTAGTTATTAAGAGAAATACTATAGAATTTAAGAACAATAAAATTAGCAAACACTACAATATATGTATATTTTATTATATACATAAGAGGTACAATAGTAGGGGAGTCCATGATGCTAAATGGGGATTTACTCGAGTGTCATGGGGACCTACTGCATTTGACAGATTACGTAATAGAATGAATAAAAGTCATATAATGTTTCCGCTATCAGCGGTGGGAAAAGATTTTACAGGTTTTTAAAAATGAAAAGGGAGAAAATCGAAAAAAAAAAATTGTTAATATTATTATGTTATTTGGACTAAAATGAAAACCGCAAATTCGAAAAATCGGCAATTCAAAATACCTAAACGTATTCGATTTCATATCGACGGTTCAGCTTGATGTTTCTGTAATGCCAGCCAAAAATAATTTTGCGGGGTATTAAAAAACGGATGGTTAGAAATATTTTAATTTTTTGATTTTTTTATTCAGTTACAAAATGTGACAAATAAAGGCTCGAAAAATTATGTACACAAATGTCTAAAATAAGATTTCTTGCATTGTTTGCTTCAAAATAAAGAAAAATTGCCAAGACTGGAACTTGTCAAACTCAAATCGTCAGATTCTTAAATACACACTTTTCGATATGTAATAAACCCAAATTACCTTAATCTTACACGCTCGAGTATTTCTGACCATCTATTTTTTTTCTTCCTGATGGGCTGCCCTAGACATTCGGCCCTATATGTAGGGCTCATGTATGGTTAAGGTACTCAACTGGGTGTAAGATATTTATCCTATGTTAATCTGCCACACTCGAGTAAATCCCGAAATCCCTTTTAAGGCTCCCCTACTACGATGTGCTGCTTATTGCAAGAAGCAATATCCTACTTGCTTTGTTCTATTGTCAAAAGGTAAAAGAATCTGTAAATCGATCAAAGAAATATTATCTTATATCAGTATATATCTATGTATAATACACATATGTGATTATTATGTACCAAAACCATTTTTATTAAGTGCCTAAATTGCATCAAATATAATTTTCAAAAACCGTTTTGATAGATTATGTTGAATAAGATTTACTGACTTTTGATGAACACTTCACACATCATCACATCAACAGCCTTCAATAGTCCACTGCTGGACATAGGCCTTAGAAAGGAGGTTTGATGAACGTCTGTCCATTATATCGACTTAAAAATCAATAGATGGTATCAATAACAACGAGATTGTGAGCCTTTATTAGTTCAAACGCGGATCATATCTTTAGCTTGTCAGTTAACTTATCTACTTGAAACCTATCTGTTCGAGTCTTGGTTTTTTGTGACAAATTCTTTGGACACAAGTCCACCAATTTAATGGCAATGCCACGGTTGTGAAAAAAAAAACTTGTTTTCCTTTCGACAATCAATTTCAAATTTGCCTTCTAATATAAACGTTGTACAATAACATGATAAATATTTAAGATCTTTTGTTTGTGGTATCACATGTACCGACGTATTATATTATTGGAGTATCGTCAGAAAGTCATCATCATCATCAAAAAACTATACAGAATGATGAAAGGTTTTATATCTGCAACACCTCTTTAAAAAAAAACGTATTGTGAAAATCTGACTGTAAATTCTAAACCTATTTCATATTGGTTTAAAAATAATGACATATAAATAAAATTAAGTAACATGTGACGTGATATAAATATATATAAAGCATGTCATACACCTCTGTCTATACTTCTAGCAAAGACTGTGTGATACTTATGTTTTATGATTATATAATAAATAAAAGAAAGTTATATCAATGCATTTGTTTTATTTTAATACAATCTTACAGTAATCCCTGTATACAAAACGAGTATAAAACTTACAAACACTTAAAGCTAGTTAAATAGAGTATCAATTACTTTGGTATGTCGTCGGTTGAAATATCTGTTGTATGGATCTGAGCCGCAAATGAATAAATGTATTGGAGAATATGCTTATATTTTTTTGCCATATATCTAAACAGATTAAAATAATCAAAAATATCCTTTATACAAGGCCCTTTTAGGTATGAAATCCTATGGCACAAGTCATAACCTAATTTCAAATGCGGTTTTCGGTCCATACTCTTACTTCGTCGTGGTTCTTATAGTTTGTTGAGGAAACGAGAGATGGAGGCAAGGTTTTCGCATTCAGGAATCAGGCTTCCCTTAAACTCAATGCAGGATTGAGCGCAGAGTGGTCCTTCGAACCAAGCACCGAACATTTTCTTGCACTGCGCGCAGTTCTCAATGCAAGCTCCCAGGGGATCGTAGGTAGCTGAAAACAAACAGCAGACTCTGTTAAACGAGTTATTTCGAAATTCTTAATGGCTAGAAAAGGACGATATCATGCTTTTTACATAGTCTAACATTGATTTATAAGAACGGTGCCAATGGGAAAACAAGGAGTTAATAGCTAAGATTACAAGTGTAGTGAGACGAGTAAAAACTAATATTTTGGATTACTCCTTTCAAAATAATGTAATCAATTAATGCAAACATAATTTTTGGATGTAAAAAAAAACCCTGGGGAACAATACCTCGGCACATATGGGCCGACCGTAGTGATACATCGGTCTCACAGAAAAACGGTGTTAAGGAACTCTTTCGTTGCATTTTACCGAATAAGTGAAGTAATTGAAAACATTGCTACGTTATGTTCTGTCACATTCGATTTATTTACTCCCAAAAAGTGATCGTCAGAATCACCAATTCTGACAGCGACCAATTTAATACCGCTCTACAACTTCTTAGAGAAATCTTTAAGAATGTTGAATATAGGTATCACACATGATTGGTAAATTTAGTTTTGGTATTAATGATGTAAAATATATTTCAAATAAAATCTATAAGTAAACACAGACACAAATACAGAGCGCTTAAACATCATTTTAATGTAAGTACTTATTTAGAAAATATATTTGCCATGTCAAAAAGGCAATACGCAAACACGTGATTCTTTGAATAATAAAATTCAAATTTACATCAATGTAAGAATATCTGATCTGTTTTTATAGGAGACTTTAGATGAGGCAACTGTTTTTCGAATATTCACTGTTACACGTAGTAATATACAAACTTGAATTCAAAATAAGTTTGATTTCAATCATTAATAAATCCTGAGTACCACCAAAAGTTTAAATTATGTGTTTTGTGTAGGTAGGTATGTTAATGACGTGCTTTTAAATGTTTCGCGAGGACTTTACAAATAGCGATTAACGGACACAACATGCACAGAGCCGAAGTTATAATTCAGAGAGTGAAATAATTGACGGAAACTGCACAAAATATACTATGTAGATGTAGACTGCGGTCGTAATAGAATTAATTCTCACTTGAAATAGAACGTTTATGTTGAAAGGGCTTTAAGAATAAAAAGTTCAAATTCGTAGTAATAGGTTAAGGTGTTGTGAAACCCTCGTTATAAGTTGTGGTTACTCATTTTATTAAGAGTACAATTTCACGGATTAAAGTAAGTTAATATTTAAGTTTTTAATTCATAGGAATATTTATTTACTTTTTATTATCTTTTTATCTCTTTATTGTACACCACTGCAGTATTATTTGTACAGACAATAAGCAGTCTTGTCGCTTACGGCGATTTCTTACAGACAACCTTTATACGTAAAATTGACAAATTTAAATTAGGGTAGCCTGCGATGTACTATAACAATATTTTGAAAATTATGAATAGTTAAATAAATATAAGGTTACTACATACGTTTACAGTATACATACAGCTAATACGCTTAAATACATACAACATATATAAATACATACATACGGAGGTCCATAAATACACAAACTCCTCTATGATGTCAAATAGTGATTTCTGACTAGTTTTTTAAATATTTGCAATGATTTAGCTTGCCTAAATGCCTCAGGTAGGTTATTCCACAGTCGAACTGCTTGCACTGAGAACGACTAGTCAGTGAATTGTGTGGTGTGTCTGAGCATTTTTAACTTCAGATTTTCTGACATTATCAAGGACCTGCAATGTGAATTGTGTAAGAATTCAAAACGTTCTTTGGGAGGATGGAGAATGTAGGAGGAAAAGAGTACTGTATGAAATAGCGAGAATATTCGCCGCTTCCTACTGCGCCGAGTGTTGTGGGTTCAAACCCCACATGGGATGACACTTTGTGTGATCCACAAATTGTTGTTCTGAGTCTGGGTGTTCTTTGTGTCCGTTTCATGTAGGTATGTTTGTAAAGTCCCCCGCGACACAGGATATATTCCTAATGCGGGAGTTGTCTTTTTTAAAAGAAAGAAAGAAATATGAACATTCCGGCGAAGATGTATAGGTAACCATTTGAGCTTAATACAATACTCAGAGATATGATCATATTTGCGTAAGCCGAATATGAATCTAATGCAGACATTTTGGAGACGCTCAAGTTTGTTTAATTGGTCTTCGGTGAGATTTAGATAGCTAACATCACCATAGTCCAGGATGGAAAAAAGCCTCCTGACGACCGTACAGGTAGCTATGACACCAGTCAATTGCTGATGGAGATATGTTAAGAGAACGCAATATTCTGAGCAAGATATCAAAGTATAGAATATTTTCGTAAGATCGTTCTAAAATGTTTACGTCGGTGATTAATAAAAATTGATAGTGTGTACTCGTTCCTTTACATGAAATGGGAAATTGTAAAAATATTATGTTTATAAAACTTACTTTATAAAAAAAAGTATGAATATATTAATTTACTTAATTTTTGGAGTACCTAGATGTATTCATGGATTTGTTAGAGGGTTTCATTTCCATTTCATCACTGCAAAGAGTTTTGACTAATTTCCTTTTGTTGTACTAGGTTGTGCAGGGACATCGATTAGTCATTAAGTGGTGATTTAATCCTTTTATTGTTTTTCTTTTAGATTTCACGGCGATTACTTTATTTAAGTCCATTTTAACGACCTTGGATAAGGCAAATGGACGCATATTTTTTTACACACTATTTAACGATTAGAATGTTTAAGTTATCAATATCGTTACATTTTAACCCATCATTCATCTATGCTGTAACATTACAAAAATGTCTAATAAATGTCAATCGATTAATATATTGATCTCTTCTCGGTTATGGGGTCAAGTGTGCACGCCTAAGGTGATATTGCGCAATAACAGCGAAAGTGAGCTGTCCAATTTACGGATTGAGGTCATTGTCTCCGGTGATCGATGAGCAAATACATCTCTCATGCATTTTTAAGAGGATTTAAGTATTCAAGTTAGCGTTTAAAACAGTTGTCACCTCTTTAAGTAATCTTTGCCAAGCTTAAGGACAAACAAAGTTTTTCTAGACCTTGATAAAAAGGACTAATAGCTATGGCTTGATGCTCCCAAAAATTATAATAATTTGATACGGATAAGTTAGAAACCATTACAATTCACATTAAAAAAAATAGTCTAAAAAGAAGAGCAGTCTCTGTTAGATAATTTATTATTGAGGTTGATCTGTAAAAGAGCATTGAAGTGCATGAGAAAACTTGGGTGGGAGTTCTAAATGACATAAATAAAATTTAGAAATAGTAGTATTTTTGGTGCATTTTATAAATAATCGAACCCACAACTATTAAATAATGCGCTAACGCTGTCAATAGTAGAAGAAATTAAGGTCGTTTTCTCTCATTTAATATTACACCACCCTTTCAACTTTTCGACTTATGAATAGGATTACCATGGTTATTTTAAGAAGCTATTTATTTTGGTCGCTCACAGTCACAGGCAGTCACAGTAAACAATACACAGTTTAAATTTGATATCAGTTTACAATGTTTTTATTTTTCATATTCATTTACGACAAGTTTAATTTTAGATGCAATTTAGATTGACTCAGCAAAGACAAACCTCAAAATATTCTGTGTTATTTTGCAAGTCACGTTTAATCTTAATCGTTGACCTTATGAATTTAAATCTGTTGAAGCACGTGTCCAGTGTAAAAGATTAAATTTCGTACTTTATACGCATTCACCGCGTAACAGTCCCTTGAATTTGTAATTTTCCTAACTTGGCTATAAAAAGCTAATAAAAAAAGATTTTGTTTGTTAGATATTTTGTTATAAGTCAGTTATATTCATTAAAGTTACATTCTTTAGACGCTCACTTCATTAGGGAAGTGGAAATCGTTATAAATAATTTGGTCTTTTAAGTAATCTATACAAATAAGTAAAATTGGAGTGTCTGTTTGTATCTAATATTAAAATAACCGCTTTTTACTAAATGCATATTATATGTGTGTTTACACGGTACATATACCAAAATAACATTTTTTTCAGTCTGTCTGTCTGTCTGTCTGCTTGTTCCGGGTAATCTCTGGAACGGCTGGACCGATTTCGACGGGATTTTCACTCGCAGATAGCTGATGACATAAGGAGTAACTTAGGCTACTTTTTTTAGACTAGCTTCGCCCCGCGGCGTTGCCCGCGGTTATAACACCAAACGCGGGTAACACCGCGGGTCTCAGCCAGTAATAAATACGTCGTCAAAATTGTATAGCCTGGGAATCAGAACACATTGCAGTCCATAATGTAAATGAAGTAATATATGCATAACAGGATGCTATTAATATGCAGGTTAAACTTTTTAAATGAATACAAGGTGATGGGTGTTTTTTACAAGGTACGAATAGGAACAAAAAACTGTGAACTCAAGTGAACGATTCTTTACTTGGGAAGAAAAACTGTGACGTGTGACTCAATGCGGCCACAGACGGGAAAGCGAAGATCCTGCACGAGACCTTAAACGATCAAGGCCCCATGTTCAACAGTGGACGTCTCATGATTGAAGTGATGATATGATAGGAAGACTAAGTGTTCTCTGATATATTTGAAGCCATTCTACTTTATTATCTAGTGTGTGTATGATGAATATAAATAATTTATACAATTATTGTAGAATATATTATATGTTATATTATTATTAAAATTAGTTGAATAATTTAACCTGTGGGAAAAAACGTTAAGAAACTAGATTTATGTTAACGCCCATTATATGTATTTATTTAAATGAAAACGTTATTTCTTATTAAATCAATTGTTATGTTTTATCCCGTATAAAATTACGATTAAATATTATAAACAATGATAATATGAAGATTAAAGAGACGTAGTCAGTATATTGTATAAAACCTATACTTTTAATGAATCAATTTTAAACATTTCTGGAGGAACAGTAAAGTTCTCGGCTTAATAATTTTGTATATTGAATTAAAAAAAAGGTTTGGAATTACAAACGAATATCAGTGGTATTGGAAGATTATTGGAGTGATACCGCGGTGTCAGAAGGCCGGCGTTAGGCCCGGTATCCACTAAAGCAGAGAGGAGAGGAGACGAGAGGAGATGTGTTTTGAATAACCAATTAGATTTCGTTATTTCCACATGTCCCCTCCGCTTAGCTTCGGTGGAAATAGATCAAGCGGAGAGGAGAGGTGATGTCTCATTTTTCTATAGACATTTTGTGCCGCGAACGAGCAAGCGGCGCGGCAGACCAGAGAAGTGTGTAGTTGGCGGCCAACAAACTCTTGAAATAGTGTGGCATATTCACCATGACTGTGACATTTTATATGGTTTCTTATCCAGCATCTATGTTGCCGTCGATAATTTAAACATAGAAGAATTAATCGTATTCCTTCAACCTCTAATTACTCTTCCTCAAGCTAATTAAGATAAAACTATCGCAACGACATGACGTTGTTCTTTTGTAGCTACAGTGACTTGTCTGACTGGACTTGGCAGTACAGTACAGTACAGTACTTGGTTTCGAACTCTCACAGCTTGGTTGGTGGAAACCAGGTCTTAAACAATTCTTACGTTCCTTTTTACCTATCGAGTGAGGTTGCCGGTTTTAGTGGGGAGGAGGGCGGAGGGACTCACAGGACCATAAAAAATAGGATCCTGTTGATTTTAACTAAAATGTTCTTCACAATTATTTTGTAGTACGTACCTAAATATTACACGAACCACTCGGCAGTATTTTAAGCGTGTTTTTATATCGTAAGTCAAAAAAGTATATCTTGCGCAATGCTATGAATACCACAAGTAGAAATGTGGTTATATACTCGTATATTGTGCATACAAAATACTTAGAAGTGAAACATATGTTAAACGTAAGACGAACTTTTTTGGCAAAGGTACTATCGGCGGCAGATGTTTTTTTTTGGAAAATCATATAGGAATAACATTGTTTTGTATACGCTTATCCAATTTTGTGAAACTTGGTTATGATTTTGGTTACTAACTACTGACGATTTGACGTACACATTTATGTAAACAACTCGGACCTGTACAGCTTTTGGATTCTAAAAGGATCAACTACTTATATATTATGCATATTTCAATTAATCATTACATAAAACTTAATAAGTTCTTTACTATTAAAAAAATATAAGAACTACAGGACATTAGTAAAGGATAATAACAAATCTAGAAGCGTAAAACGTGTTACGTCATCGAAAGGTCAGTTCGATATTGTGTATGATTAATTTTAATTTAGGCAGGATATTCGATTCCGTAGAAGATTCGAGAAAAGTATAAAAAAAAAGTTAAAAATGGACTAAGTTACTCATAACGTTAGCGACTATGGATTCTGTTCAATCATAAATAATAATCTAGTTCAAACAGATTGCTATTGCATCTAACGCTATTAGTGGGTCATAGAGCTTAGAGTAGAGTCTACGGTGGCGGTGTGTGTATTGGCCATACTCCCGGGGAGTCCCTCGCGTCACGTGAGAAGCCAAGATAGCTCGTTGCTCTTAATGGCTGGAGTCTCCATAGGCTGAGTTAGCCACCATGGAGGCGCTTCAACTGGTCATAGTCGAGTTACAAACAGAGAATTGTGTCCCGCCTGTCATTACAGTGAGAACTCGACTCAGCATGTGCTTGCAAGTTGTCCTGCTTGGGCCACACAGTACCCTGCTGCAGTCACTGGTAAGGACCTCATGATACCAGTTCTTGTACGTTCTATGTATTTTGCTATTTTATTTTGTAGAAGGTGGCAGAAAGCTCTGTGGAAGATCTCCACTAGAACCCAATTCGCCGCCAGCGAACTGAGCTCTCCGGTCGACTCAGACCATCATACTTTTCGGCGCAGTATGCACAGCGTCTAGTTTTAGTCGGCTCGATTTCGAAACACCGCCTTATTGGTAGCACCTTTTGGTGCTGACGGACCGTGGGATTTAGGTGGTAATGCGCGCATAAAGACGATGGCGTAGTGGTTTGTGTAACGGACTGCTATTCTAAAGGTCGCGGGTTCGATTCGAGTCAAACATTTGTGTGCATGAACTTTTAATGTTCGATTTGGTCTGGGTGTTTCTATGTATCTGTATGTATTTATAAAAAAAAAGTATTTATGTATTTATATCAGTTGTCTAGTACAAGTTTAGGACCAGATGGCGTTGTGTGAATGTGGTAGAATATTATTATATTATTATTATTGTCACATTTACTATGCCACCATCAACCATCTACACACCCATTCACGCTTTACCTGCTGCTAATTGTAGCTAATATAATTTGAAACTGCATTTTTTGGAGAAGAAAATGATTGTACTATTTGAGCGGAGATTTATTCGTGTAATCATCCCACTTCATCTTCGAGTAAATCATTAAGGACTTTTTCGTATTGGACACAATATTCTCGACACACACACATGGACTTGATGTCAAACACCAACGATTTTATATTCTTTGTACATCCTTTGTGCACGCATGCCTTGAGCAGAGCATATGTTTCCCGCCAACATGAAACATCACAAACAACATGGATCTATATTTTGTGAACCTTATGCTTTTAACCATATAAGTCTATTATTTACCGATAGCTGGGCTGCAGGAGACATGTCCGAAGTTGGCAATAACAACGATAGCAACGAACGCGATGAATGCAGCAGTGATTTTGCAGGCCATCTTTGCTGAGGTAGCTGTGAAATCGATTAAGGAATTAATGTAATTAAACCAATCTATTAAGGATTTTGTTTCAAGTATGCCAAAGACCCTTTGTCATATTTTATATTTTTGATGAAATAACGTAATCGATTTTGTATACAGTACGCAAGCTGACATTAATTGTCACGCTTGTTATAAATAATGAACCATTGAAGTTTATATTTCTCTGTTAAAAGTAGTCCTTTTGTATCACGGTAATTAACTTATTAAATAACATTTTCTTCTAAAAAACAATAGGAACATGGACTACTAACTATGTACCCAATGTTTATTATATTTATTTGTTTATTATATTTTATTATTTAATAAAATTAATAATCATTACCTCTACAAATCATTTTTCAAGCGAGGGATCAAGTTCAAGGCTTTCTACTTACCTCTAAGTAGACAATGGGTCTAGACTTGAATTCACATATAATCATCGATTACGATGTATGTATGTCTCTGTTTCGTATCATCCTAAATAACTTTGTAAATGTATATATTATAACTACTATTCAATAAGAGCACTACTAGCAAAAAATGTAAACATTAATGCACCTACCTGATTTGCAAATCACACAAAACTTGAAGCCATATTTGCTATAAATAGGTAATCACACAAGCACTACACTAGCAAAGCTCATTTCGCTGTTGTTCACTACCAACATATGTACTCGTATATAGAAAAGATAAACAATGTTAAAACTATTCACGTACGAAAACTTAAAACGGAAAATTCTCGCCAACGACCGTTCGTAAATGGAACTTGTTTAAATATGTAACCACTTAACTATGGTTGCAGGTTGCGAGGTGGGGCGACACTGCGCGTGCGCTTAAGGGATATCCCAGGAAACGGGTCTGTACTTTTGCGAAAGACGAAAGTTCTAAGTAGGAAGTCGATGACATTACGCTGATCTTAATATGGATTTTTTACCACTCGTCGAAGTTTAATTCAGTCAGGTCATAAACAAACCGGTAAAATATTTTTATTAATACGCATTACAGACAATGTTTGTGAAATAAGGATATCCACATTGCAATCACAATATCTATAATGCAAATTCGTATCAATAAAAACTGGATAGATTTTTATAATGACCATGATGGAACAATCTAAAGAACAATAATTGAATACAATAGGCATTTATAAATAGAGCGATAATGCAGCACGCCAAGTATACAGGCATCTAAGTTATAATAAAATGAGCTATATTCAGCTAAACCTTTGTGTATTTTTCTCCAACTGATCAAACAGAAAAAAACATCGATGCTAGATAAAAATTGTTAATATGTAATAGTCTACATACAATTTAACAACATACATGTAATGTTGGTGGGTTTCTTTGTACTCCAATAATTAATGTTATAAATGAACTACCACTAATCAACTACAACTACCACAACCAACCTGTTGGTCTAGTGCTTAGTGACCCTGACTGCTAAGCCGGAAGTCGTGGGTTCGATTCCCACCCAGGACAAATAATTGTGTGATGAGCACGATCATTTGTTCTGTGTCTGGGAGTAATTTATCTATATTATGTATGTATTTAGACATATATAAGTATGTTTATCAGCAGTCTGATTACCATAGTACAGGCTCTGCCTAGTTTGGGATCAGACGGCCGTGTGTGAGATGTGTGAAATTATTATTATTATTTCTGGAGATTCAAGTGAACTATAAGACGTAAATATAGAAGCCATGAATGATTACTATTTGATTAAATATGGTTTCTCTTGCATTTATATAATTTTTTTAATCAATGACAGAAAAAAGAATAAATTTTCATCAGCCCAAAGTAATTTTAGTTGACATAATTTAATTACTACATTATGATGGCGTAATTGAATTATTCAAAAAATCTATAGATTGACGTCAGGACACGACAAAAACAGAACAAAGAACTTTAAGATTCGATTCTTTTAATAAAAATCTGGAAAACCAGTTTATAATGTCATCACATTTTAATACCACACAATTTCTTCCGTATAATTTTATGTAAGTAATAAAACACTAGCTACTAAAATGCTAGTAGAAAAACTATCAAGGTCCCGAAGTCTGCACATGGATTTTATGTAATAGACAAAGTAGACCAAGGTGGACTCTGTGATCGTTGGTGAAACCGTTACTTAATTTCTTTCAAGGAAAGTATGTATCATTGTTGCGTAAAGAGAATCGTGACACGTTTTGCTATTTGTACGTAATTCTATAAGTATCGAAACCCTTTGTGAACTGTTGAGCAAAAAGGTTGAAACAAGTCTAGATTTCCGACTATAACAAATTTATTACCTAGAAATAAACAGGATTAGCGTTAGATGTCACTGTTAAGTTTTATGAATATAAAACACAATATTTAATAGCTAATGTTACAACTTTATCGTCTTACTCTTGGTGATCTATGAAAATAAATTACACATTCTTAATAAATTACATTACATACATACAAATAAAAACATTCATGTAATGCCTGTTATAGAAATCAAATGATCTGGGCAATTGTACACAAAATTGATTAAAATATTAAACAGCTTATCCATAAGATTCTGATGTATCTGAATGAACTGGCTTGCCTTCAGAGATAGCCCGGGGCGCCTGAATGCTTGTACATGGATGATACTCTTAGGGCTATTCAAAAACTGGTTTTCGATATTCGTAAAATTAATTTTAATACAAAATTTATAAATAATTCAATTGACTGCAAATTACTTATTTAATTTACGAGGAATTACAATATTATGTCTCAGGAGATAAGTAGATTTTGTTATCTACGAACCATTGATATTTAAAAAAAGGAAGAAAGAAACATTGTAAGTGTATTACTCTATATATAACTTGAAAAAATATTTATATCGTGTTGAACATGGACATGGACATATTATCGCAGAATAACCCACATTTAGGACAAAAGCATTTTACTTCCGCGCTGACGAACAAAAGTCAAATGTAAATAACCTCTAGACTCGGTTCGTGTACTAAGTAGCTGATAGTAACAGATTATCTCGTTACCGCATTTACATAGCTCCTTAAAACCGGTAGTATTTACACTTGTGCGTAAGTACGGAGCAATGGAAATTATACTAGAAAGAAACCGTTCTTGGAATGGGTACTACACCTTTTAGGAAGCGGATCTCGTTATCAGACGATCGGTTTAAATCTTAATTATTGTTAATACAACTTCCTAAACTTAAAATTATGAATTCTCAATCCTGCCGGATACGAAATAGCGTGATTGATGCTCTAACTAAATAACTAAAAAAAAATAGTTCCGCGTATGAAATCATGCTGACAAAAATTCTATATTGGTATATCAAATGTATGTTGTCGTCTAAAATAGGATTAACATTTACATCTCGATCTATTTATGATTTTTGCTCTCCATGACGTCTGTCGTCAGCCAAACCTTGTCATACTACATATAGTAGTAATATTTTAGCGCTGCATTGGAAAAATAAAATGACCAGACCGAAGCTGTCATCGATATTTATTTAGCGTATCAACTGAACAAAGCGTACTTTACAGAGTATTTAATATAGGATGGATGTTTGTCACACAATCACGCTAGAACGACTGAACGGACTTGGATGGATTTGGATGGATTTTTTACAGAGATATATATATATAGTCTCGAAAAGGGCATATACTACTATTTATCCTGGAAATCGACATTAACCCCGGGGCAAAGCTACTATGGTATAAACTTCTCCATTAAAAGATAATAATAACAGAACTTATCTAGAGTGAAAGTGAGAGTACGAGTATTTGTAAATGAAAAATAAAAGCGTACATAAAATTATGGAAACTTTACTGCAATAATAAATACAATAAAAAAAAACACTCAAATAAATCCGGAGAGTACTTACTGTAAGAATTGGTTGACTTCCAATGTTGATGCTAGGATGCAAGCAGTTGAATGTGCTGAGAAGACCCAGATCCTGAGGTTTTATACTAAATCTTAACAGCCTAATCTAACCAGCCATGTCGGAAACGGCAGGAGATTCTTCCATTATCTATATGGATAGGATAATTCGATTTTGCCAATGTCCCAGACGTACTATTAGTTAGAGAGGTTATTGCAGATGTTTTAGGTAGTTAATGTAACAGAAGATTAACTATAAATGTAGGTATGTAACTATAGGTACATACGTGATACTCAAAGTTCTTCTTTAGACTCCTAGTTATATTTTTAGCCCCCAGCAAGAGCGGTTTAAGATTATCGCTTCACCGCGGAAGAGCCATACTTTTAACACAATACCGGCTCAACCGTAATAAACGTGTAATACCTCGCCCTCATAGAAAACCGGGGGAAAACTATCCTATCGTTACCTTTCACCAAGTGAGTGGGGTTACCGGCGGCCCAAACCTCCTTTTTCTAATTGTGGGGAAAGGGAATTCTATCGATAAGCGATCTCTAGTTTTAATTGACCGCCATTGTCGTTTGACTGGATTTAGAAAATTATATTTCATGACAATACTGGACTTTGATATTTTTATTAGACTTGCAACGAATAGTATTTTCGGCAGTATACCGAATACCGAATATTCGGCGAGGCCCCTGACCGAATAGCCGAATATTAGGCAAAAGTATTCGGCTGGATTTTAGCGCCAAAAACTTGTACAGACGTGAATTAAATTATGTACCTGTTTTATGTACCAATGACTACTTCATCAACAGCCTATAACAGTCCACTGCTGGACATAAGCCTCTCCTTAGAAAGGAGGTTTTGGCCTACTATACCACGCTGGCCAGACGGGTTGGTATAGGGTTTGTTTCAAGTTTTCCTTCTCTTTGCAGTGCTGTTGTCCTGCGTAGTTTGGTCCCTTAGTCGGCTCTTACGACACCCACGGGATGAATAGGGGTGGTGACATTACGTATTCTTATTCCGTCACCACACGGACACCAATGACTACTTAATAAATGATTATAAAAGAAATAAGAACCTTACCCTTCTAAATTTTGATTACGACAATAATTCAAATACATAAAATCCTCTATTTTTCTAATTCAGAAGATGATTATGTACCTGTGTTATGCACCAATGACTACTTAAATGATTATAACAGAAATGAAAATATGAATATTTACGTAATCAATCGATTTTAATTTTTCATTTTACCAATTATTTCTCAATGACAAAATATATTATTTAAGTATTCGGCATTCGGCCGAATAATATGTAGATATTCGGTATTCGGCCGAATATAATAAAAGCAGCCGAATAGGCCGAATACCGAATAGTAACCGAATATTCGTTGCAAGTCTAATTTTTATACGTCGTAATTTTTTCGTTCAGTTGATGTCCATTTTCTAACGATCTCTTCAACGAGAGGGCGGGCATTAGGCTATGCGATCGTAGCCTCTGCGAACTACTGTAGTCAAAATCCCGTTTTTCGATATTCTGCGAAATATCTCCAAAATCCCGTCCCGCGAAATTCCTCAACCTCGCTTCCTTCACCCATCCGTTTTCCTTATCCAATTTTCTTTTAAATCCTACCTGTTGAAAACGACCATATTTCCTAGAACGGTTTGTGTCAGTCAGGCGGCCAGCCATTAAAACAAGCCAAAATCATTTGCGCTATTATACCATACGTTGTGCTAAACCTAAAATTGATTGTGTAAAGTACAGGAATATAAAAAAAAAACTGAAACTCTCTTCACCATATTTTACTCAGCTCTCCGCTTCTCATGATCTTGTCAATGACAAGTTCATGTATTTTCAACGTAACAACGTTTTCAACGTGCTTACACATCGTTTGACAAGCAGCTAAATCTTTCTAAATTGCCAAATCTCTTTCAATACATAATCTTGATCCATGACAATTGCCGCGTGAACACATTTTTAAACTCGAAGTTTAAAAATGTGTTCATCAGAAATTGGATCTCGAAAATCCTCGTAACGTGTCAGTTAATTCTACGTATACATTACATACGAGAATATTTAATATTATGATTGATATTTAATTTAAAATTATTCTGTACATGTTAAAATATCTCATTACACATACACACACACATACAACACTTTTTGTGGTGGGTAAAAATAAATCTCTTAATCCAAAGGTAACACGCTGAAGTATCCAAACTAATACTATTAATGGGAAACTGAGTTTGTTACCCTTTAATACTTGATCTACTCATCATATCTTTCATCTTGAAAAAAGTAGTATTCCTAAGGTATAGAACTAGCTCAGCACCATAGCCGCAATCATGTTACCGAGCGAGGGAACCCCCACTCAAATGGCCGTCACGAGGTCACGCCTCTGCTTCACCCACGCCGGGCATTCTGTCACCGTGTGGAGGCCGTGTCCACGGTCTGGCCTTCGCAGCGGCGACACCCAGGCGTTGGCTCCATGCGGTTCAGACACAGGTGATCTCCGAAGCATCCTTTCCTGGTGATCACCTGCGTCAGCTGGTATAAGAGGGTCCCGTGATGCCTCTTTGTCAATCCTCCATAACAGATTCTACCGCAGGAATAGCGGCGTGCCCGGCGGTTGGTTGCCCAAGTCGTTCCTTTCACTCCTCCACGAGGACCTGGCGGAGTGACATTTTTGATCCTCGATTTCTCGAGTCTCAGGACTCCGACCCAACTGCCGCGCCTCCTTGCGCCACTGATACAGAGCCGCAAGGGCTCTCGCCTCCAGGTCCCACGGTCAGGCCAGGAGACTCCCCCTGCCCCTAAGGAAGTTTTTGACTTACTTATTGCATTTTAAAAACTCTTTGGGGTACCTCCCGTCCGCCAAAGAGTTTTTAAAATGCACACGCTAAAGGTGGGATGAATTTTCTTCTTGTTCATCTCATAGAGTGTAGTGTGTGTCTTTGATAGGCCACTTAAAACATTAAGGAGGTGTAAGGACTTCTTTTTAATTATTAAATCCACTTAACTCATAACTTTAAAATCCAAATTTATTGTGATAAATTTGTTAAGGTTAAGTGAGTGAGGTAGGTAAGTAAGACATCAGAAACTGTAGTAGTAAATAATAAAATATTTAACGAATTTAAAAAAAAAGCATCGCGGTTAATTAGTTATGTTTATGTAGGAGCAATAGTCACCCCACTTATAACGAAATGAAAAAAATCATACTAAATGCAAAATCCTTTAAAAAAATTACTTAGATGAAGTGTGTACTTGTCTTAAACGGAGAGTAATAAACTAAGGTAAAACCCTACATTGCGTTTGCTCTAATATAGTTATTGAATTATCGTTTTTACCTAATTAAGGAAATAATTAATAAAAACTATCTGTGTGAAGACCCGGACAATTCGATTAAAACGACTTACTTTTATGTATATCTGCTACTTGAATTCACACAGAACAAGAACAGAACTCTCATGAGGTGCCACTGTAAAGTGTACCTGGCCGACCTATTGATAACAAAAAGCGCAGTCTATAAATTGTTCAATGTATTAGGAAAGACAGGGTCTTTGAGCTTGAACGAGGATTTACCTTTGTTCAATTCTGTACTGATAAAATTAAGCTGTAGATTTTTTTTTTTTGTTTAAATGTTAAGTTTTTTGTTTAAATGTATGTTAATCTCTAAAACTTGTAAACCGGTCTTGTCTCTTGTCAATTTAAAAAAAAACTTATCATTGAGAAGGCTTTTAGGCTATGTAAAACTTTGCACATTTGAACAACTTTTTCTTTTGTATGTCAATAATGTATTACGAAATTGATGATATTATTATGATTATGTTTTACTCGTATTACGTTGCAAATCACGGTAAAATATTATAGCCGACTGAAACGTCTTAAGTAAGGTTTCAGATTTAAGGTACGAGTAAAAAGTGTAATAAGTACGAGTCTTAAGACCGTGTCTTGAGACTCGGACTTTTTACATCTATTCTTTCGCAAAAATGCGTAAGATGTAATTGTTATTTGATTTGTTAACTAACAAAATTGTATAGTAAAAGTATCTATCGCATCACATCATATCAACAGCCTTTAATAGTTCCCTGCTGGACATAGGCTTCTTCTTAAAGAGGAGGTTTTGGCTGGCCAGACGGTTTGGTACAGGGTTGTTGTCACGTTTACCATCTCTTTGCAGGGCGGTTGTCCTGCGTAGTTTGTTTCCTCAATCGGCTCTTACGACGCCCACGGGATGAATAGGGGGCGTGACTCTCCGTATTTTTAATCCATTACCACACGGATGAGGATCCTAGCGGTGATTGTTTATAATGCAATTGTCCAATGATGGTACTGTGCACTTTTCAAGGAACTTTTTGCCTCGAACAAATCTTTGGAACAAATTGTAGCCTGCAGTATTTACGTAGCGATAAGACTTTCAAAGTAAAGAGTTTATAAGGTGTAAGCACGTCACCTCAGAAACTGGCAACGTATTCTTGTTAACTTTGGAGAGGTGGGTTCCACAGGTAGGGCTGCTAATCTGCTGCTTTGGCATCTATACCTGCTAAAAACATCAAACTATGAGCCTCAAGAGCGCAGCAGTGACTATAAAAGCGAGTGAAACTCGGGGGAACGACTAGTAGAAGAATAAATTAAAGTTTTAGATCATGCTTGGAAAGTATTGGTAATATTTTACTTTAGTCTTTCAAATTCTTCTTCAAAACAATTTTCGTCCACACACACTTCTTGCAACTTTTATAAATAATTGTACAAAGTTCCACTAACAAAGGTGTTTCATTTAAATATATTTATGTATGTTTGTTGCATGTATTATAATTTAAAAAGAGAAATTAAGTAAACCCTTCTTTGTGAGATTCGAACTTAAATTTAAAACTACAAAGTTACTAACTACAAAACTACAAAAACCGCAATGAGGTAACAGAAAACCAAAGTTATCGAAGTAGTTTTCAGAATAAGCATACTGAAGAGGCAATAGGCAGGATATATCTGCCGGAGGATCGATACCCATGAGCAAACGTATCCTAGATTGGAAGCCGCGAATCGTTAAAGGATAAATAGGCCATTCAGCTGGCTGACAACCTGATGTAACTAGGGAAATTAGACGCAGAAGATGGAGGACTATAGAGCACATTGGGAAAGGCATTGGTTTTGTAGCGGAATGCAATAGGTTCATTAATTCTACTACAAATTGACAATAAAATATTAGAATCTCAACGCACGAGTTTAGGTGCCCCTGTTTAATAATTTACATATTATAATATCATGTACGTAAATACTCATATAGGAAAAATACCATGTCAAAATGTTACACTAAGGGTAAAGACTACGCGACACCCTTGACATAACGTGACACGTATGCATAATGTACCTACAACACTCGCTATGTGGAACTATAAGTAGAAATGTAAATATTATGTATTTCAGGCACAGTCCTATCTTTCTTAATGAAAGGTATCCTATCTTGTGCTCCTACAAAATTTATAAAATTTATTTACACACTACTAACTACCTGTATTCCACAATCTAAATGTGAATAAGTAGAAAATTCTTTGCACGCCCTTTTAAACAAATATGGCGTACGGCACCATGTCATATTTACAACATTTAATTTTTATGTGTAGGAGTAGTGCATAAAGCTGACTGACTGCCTCGTTGGTGCAGTGGTAGCGTATGCAACTGCGTGCTAAGGTCTCAGTTTCGATTACCGGGTCGAACCAAATGTTTTTAGAGTGAGAGTTTGGATGTTTTCTATCTATTAAGTATAGTATATATTAAAAAAAAAAGTATTCTATCAGTCAATCTAGCTTTCATAGTACAAGCTCTACTCAGTTTGAAACTAGATGGCGTTGTGTCAGATGTCCGAAAATATTATCATAAAGTTAGAAAAATTGTAAAAACGGCTACTTGAAACTATAGTTGTCCAGTTTATATTTTGACATGTCATAGTAAAAAAGCCTACGCAATGTGAACACTGGTTAAAGCAATACAAAAGACATTTAAAACGGAACGAATTTCGAACCAACGAAAACGAACGTCCAGCAGTGGACTATTAAAGGCTGTCGATGTGATGTGAAATTCGACCAATAGGCGATCTCTATTACTAAAAAATACACAAAACTCATTGTGTTCTTAATATTTTGATAAAGTACGCTTGTTTGCAAGTGGTCGAACCAATTTTAATAAATTGTAACATGACATATCAATTGGGGCGTTAAGGTTTAAAACAATTTATTAAAAATATAATATAAATACAGACGTTATCGAAAACGATATTATCTTCTTGTTGCTTTGTTTTTAATCAAATAGAGGAAGACATACCTAAAGTGCAACCTACAAAAGTCTTGGGTAAACATTTATACATTTGTATGAGTTTATTTAATTTTCATTTTTGCAACTAGTCAATCAACACGCAACAAGCTGTCGAATCGTCAATAGTGGCGTTAGGCAAACGTGTACATGATAGGTTAAAATTGATTTGATTTGATTTAAAATTTGTGATAGAAAAACAACAATATTAACTTCTACTTTAAGATTAATCACAGTTTATTTTTATAAGCTTCAATATTCTTTAAATAATAAATTATCAAAGGGCGAAATTATAAAGGGATTGTTTGATTTTGGTCATAACTTTCTGTCTGGCCAATATTTACTCTAACAAGAGAAATATTTAAATTATACAATTTTTATATACCAGCTAGACTATTTATCGAATGAACGTAGACAATAAACCGATTACAGGTGTACCTAGATGTGACAACGTTATGTGAATCACACGAACAGTTATGCCACAACACTCATGAACGATGGCAGTTGGCGAGCTAACCATTTAAACAAAATTGATAAATTCGTGCACTCCTATACACTAGCAACGGTACACTGAACACACCAATCAAGAAGTTGAATCACTTGATACATGTTCTTCACTAGTGAAGCTTGTTATTTATACTAATTGTATTGTGCGATCCTTTCCGGATCATGTGAATTAGTCAACAAGTCTATAGTAGGTAGGTGAGAGACTGACACAACCTGTTTAGACTGATATTTATAGATCATCTTACGTAGTACTTGGTCATCAACTAGCATTTGCTATTGACTTTAATCTTTTCCTGTTCCTGATGAACTGATAATATTAGGTATATGGTGTTAAATCTCACAAAATTGTAGGTTTGTAGTTTATCTAGTTATTTTTGTATACCTAAAGTTTTTAACTTACTAACTAAATAAGTTTGGATATGCTTGAAATTTGAAATTTCATATAAATATTATATGCAAGTAGGCAAATTTATTT